ACGCTGGTGATAGACAAGATGCAGATCCTATGGTTCCAGGAGTATTGAATCACACCACCTATAGAAGTGGATCTCAGGCCTTAAATTCATCACAGGGAGGGAGGAGGTTCTGTGTTTTGAGACTGCAAAGTTAAGTTACTGGTTTGCATGTGGTTGTATGGTTGGTTCAAACAGCCAAGATTGTTAATTGACAAAATTGCACACAGATTTGCAGTTAGTATACTGTCTTTGTATTACCCATACCATTTTGTTAACACTTGTTGAAAATGAAATTCATTCCAAGAAATGATATAACATTATGAAATATAATGACACTACACACCAAACAGTAGTGCGCACTGACATTAGGAGTAAAGCTTTTACCCCCAGATAGTTATTTTTTTATAAAACGTTATGGCGTGTCTGCTGTCCTATTAAAAACACATTTGCTCATTATAAGTGAACCTGGACAAGGATGGCATAACTAGTGAAAGTCTATTTAATGTCTCACTATAGAAGTCGCTGAGGTTGGTCACTCATTTGAAAAGCTCAATTACACTGGCTTTTCTTCTAAAACACTTAATTTTGCGCATTGGTTCCATGTCTGCATTTTCTCTGTGTCCAGTGATGAACGCTTGCACGCTTTGTTTTTGTTAATGATGTCGTTTTTCTTAAGGATTTAATTGACATTCTGTCTCTACCGATCTTTCATCATATTCTTCTCTTTTTTTACATTTGCCCAATATTTTTATAAACCGATGTAACTGACCTTTGAGTCAATGTTAATCGTGCGCTATTTGATCAGGTGAATCATGCCTCAAGCAAACACTACCCACACCATATTCAGCTAAAGTCAATATATAATTAGACCCTTCTGGAGTCGCACGGGAAAGTATGGCAGCGTGGGGAAAAAAGCATTGCACTGTTAACAAAACTTCAATGAGAATGATAATACTTTCATCAAATGTATTTAGACAGAAGTACAGTTGTGATCGCTGTCCATGGAGCTGAACGTGAGTGCTGTGTTTGCCCAGTACGTGTTAATAAATTTTAAACAATATAACAAACCACTCACTGACGTTATCTGTTTTAATTTACAGGACTTGTTCTTTTGATATAAATGTATTCTCCCGTGTTACGTAGAATCGTCTTCACATTTTCAGAAGCTTTATTGAAATAGGTATTTGTGTTGACAGTGATCTGCAACATCTATTTCTATTAACCAGACTATTGAGCACTATTTGGAGATTAAAAAATTCTACAGTAAAGGCAAAGAGCTGCTAGCTTTTGATTTTCTGCAGTAAGAATTTAGATCGCATGGTGTCAGTGTAATAGAAACAGTCAGCATTACATGTGCTTGTCGTCAGTGGATTTTGGTTCCACCTCTTCTTAGCTTCCTCTGTTCGATGTTAACACAGTCGTTTCTGAGCTTTCTGCTGCATTTGGAAATATTCTATGTGCCCTCGTGTCTGTTACTTTAGGAAGAGGATCAATATTTTGACGCATGGAAGAGTTGGATTCTGTCATTATAACGCATTTTTGTGAATGATTACTGGTGATATCGGGTTTAACCATGGAACAAAGAAGATGCGAGCCAGGAAGGGCGAGAGGACGTTTGTTCGGCTGTGTGGCTGCTTTGCTTTTGTGGAGCGTTGCCTCAGCGCAACTAAGATATTCCATCTCTGAGGAAGTTAACGAAGGAACTTTGGTTGGAAATATTGCAAAAGATCTGGGATTAGATAAAAGCACACTGAAAGACAGGAAGTATCGGATTGTTTCTGGTAACGCGGATCCCTTTTCCATGTAAATCAAAACGATGGCATCCTGTATGTGAGCCGAAAGATTGACAGAGAAGAGGTGTGCGCGCAGAGCAGTACGTGTTTAATAAATCTGAAAACCGTGCTAGAAAACCCACTGGAGGTACACTATGTAGGCGTGGAAGTGCTGGATATAAATGACCATTCTCCCAGTTTTCCGGATAAAGAAAAAGCGTTGGAGATTTCAGAGTCTGTGTTACCCGGAGTACGCATTCCGCTACAACCCGCACGAGATCCAGACGGTGGTCCTTTCTCTGTTCAGCAGTATAAACTCAGTACTAATGACAACTTCCGTTTGGAAGTCAGGGATAAAGGAGAAGATGGTAAAATCCCTATATTAGTTGTTCAAAAATCTTTAGATAGGGAATCTGCGGAAAGTCACTCATTAGTGCTGACTGCACTGGATGGAGGGAAACCTCCGAAATCTGGCGATATTGATATTTTAGTCAATGTTTTGGATATTAATGATAACGCCCCTATTTTCACTCAAGATGTTTATTCTGTGATGCTCAATGAAAATGCTCCAGTTGGTAGAACAGTTATACAAGTAAATGCAACCGATTTAGATGAAGGATCAAACGGAGAAGTAGTTTATTCATTTAGCAGTATTGTGAATCGTAGGTTATTAAATATGTTTGATATCAATCCATCGACAGGTGAAATAATTGTAAAAGGTTTAATAGACTATGAGGAGAAGGAAAAATATGAGATTGAAATTCAAGCATCAGATAAAGGTTTCGCTCCTCTGGCAACACAGAAAAGCGTCATTATCAGGATAGTTGATGTTAATGATAACGCACCTGAGATTGAAGTTACCTCATTTTCAAGCTCCATCCCTGAAGATTCCAGACCAGGAACTACAGTTGCCCTTATCAGTGTAAATGATTTGGACTCTGGTCTGAATGGAAAAGTTATTTGCTCCGTGGGTGAGGATGTTCCGTTCACTTTATCACCATCCTTACAGGACAAAATGTATTCTCTAGTCACCAAATCCCCTCTGGACAGAGAGAAAAGGTCACAATATGACCTTACAATAACTGCAAAAGACGCTGGTCATCCTCCATTATCATCTGAGAAAACAATAAGCGTTGTGGTGTCAGATGTGAATGACAACAGTCCAGAGTTTTCACTGAGTCCCTATACTTTCTATGTCACTGAGGGTAACAATCCAGGAGCCTCAGTGTTTTCTGTTAAAGCGTCTGATCGTGATGAGAACGACAACGCTCTCATTTCATATCATATTGTCAGAGACAGAAGCGAAGAAAACAAAGTGGCTTCATTTCTCAACATAAACTCTGAAAACGGAGACATTTTGGCGCTAAAAAGTTTCGACTTTGAAACTCTGAAAACGTTCCAGTTCCAAGTTGTTGCCTCCGATTCTGGAACTCCGTCACTGAGCAGCAACGTCACAGTGAACGTGTTCATTCTGGATCAGAACGACAACGCTCCAGTCATCCTGTATCCAGTCAGCTCTAACGGTTCTGCTGAAGGTGTGGAGGAGATTCCCCGCAATGTGAACGCAGGACACTTGGTGACTAAAGTCAGAGCCTATGACGCTGATATAGGATATAACGGCTGGTTACTCTTTTCACTGCAGCAAGTCACTGACCACAGTCTCTTTGGTTTGGACCGCTATACAGGACAGATCAGAACACTTCGCTCCTTCACAGAGACAGACGAGGCTGAGCACAAACTGCTCATACTGGTCAAAGACAATGGGAACGTGTCGCTCTCAGCAACAGCTACTGTGGTGGTCAAACTTGTGGAGCCCAAAGAGGCTTTTGCAGCTTCTGATGTTAAAAGTTCAGCCAAAGATGAGGAGGGGACCGATGTGACTTTTTATCTGATGATAACTTTGGGCTCAGTTTCTGTACTTTTTCTCATCAGTATCATCGTGCTGATTGCAATGCAGTGCTCCAAAACCACAGACTATACTTCTAAATATCTGCAAGAGACTAATTATGACGGGACACTGTGCCACAGCATCCAGTACAGATCTGGAGAGAAACGGTACATGTTAGTTGGACCCAGAATGAGTATAGGATCTACTATAGTCCCGGGCAGCCACGCGAACACACTAGTGCTCCCTGACAGGAGGAGGGGATCTGGAGAGGTAAGACATATTTAAACAAGCGTTTTGGACACCAAAAATATGTTTTGGGGAAACCTATCTGTTTTTAATCAATAACGGCTAAAACGTTCATATTCAAAAATAATATCTGCATATTTTAACATGATTTGCCATACCTTTACAATGTCCACAAGTGAAATGTTTTTACAGTCCACGTTTGAATAATTTTCCAACACAATATGAGTACAGAATTTAAAGCATTAAGGCATGGTTAAGTTGCTTAAGGAAAAAATACGATAATGTAAATAACGTCATAAAAAGGTTTTAATTTTTTAAGAGTGAACATAACTTCAGATTTGTTGCTTTTGAACAGAATCTGTGTTTTTCTTTATTAAAGCCGTTGCGTGTCTGATGACTGTTTTTTATTGTAGTATTTATTACTGCAAATATACTGTATATGATTTCCTGGGACCTTGGTAAGCTTTTGAAACACATAACAGTTTCTCCATAGGCAGCTCTCTAGTTTTCATTGGCAAGTTTAATTTCATGTCGATATATTTTATGTCATGATTTAGAAATGAACCTGGACTGCGTTGATATAAGCGAAAGTGACTGATACTCTTTTACACATTTTCCTACTGACTTTCAGCATGGGGAAAGAAGTTGAAGAAGTCAGTGGCCATGGTACATTATTAACGAAATTGAAATGAAAAACGTTTAACGACTGATGCTCGACAGAAGTTTCAATCATATAACTTAATTACATGAATTAAACAAATTAACAGGTGTGACGTAGAATATTCTCACAAATTCTTGAACGTTTGTTTTTTATTTATAAGAAGGGGTTTTTGTGTGAAGAGTGAGCAGCCCCCTGATCTATTTCGATTTACATCAGTATTTGTGGGTACTGTTCCAAGATAAATAAACAACAATTAAACACAAACATAAGCATAATCTACCATTTAGCTAAAGCGGTGCAGGCCTTTTGATTTTTTGCAGTAAACATTTTAGATCGCATGGTGTCAGTGTAATAGAAACAGTCAGCATTGCATGTGCTTGTCGTCAGTGGATTTTGGTTCCACCTCTTCTTAGCTTCCTCTGTTCGATGTTAACACAGTCGTGTCTGAGCTTTCTGCTGCATTTGGAAATATTCTATGTGCCCTCATGTCTGTCACTGTAGGAAGAGGATGAATATTTTCACGCATGGAACAGTTGGATTCTGTCATTATAACGCAGCTGTCGTTTTTTGTGAATGATTACTGATGATTTCGGGTTTAACCATGGAACAAAGAAGATGCGAGCCAGGAAGGGCGAGAGGACGTTTGTTCGGCTGTGTGGTTGCTGTGATTTTGTTGCGCGTGGCTTCGGCGCAACTAAGATATTCCATCTCTGAGGAAGTTAATGAAGGAACTGTGGTTGCAAATATCGCAAAAGATCTGGGATTAGATAAAAGCACACTGAAAGACAGGAAGTATCGGATTGTTTCTAGTAACTCGGATCCCCTTTTCCATGTAAATCAAAACGATGGCATCCTGTATGTGAGTCGAAAGATTGACAGAGAAGAGGTGTGCGCGCAGAGCAGTACGTGTTTAATAAATCTGAAAACCGTGCTAGAAAACCCGCTGGAGGTACACTACGTTGAAGTAGGGGTTCTGGATATAAATGACCATTCTCCCAGTTTCCCAGATAAAGAAAAACGATTGGAGATTTCGGAGTCTGTGTTGCCCGGAGCAAGATTTCAGCTAAAACCTTCACGGGATCCAGACAGTGGTCATTTCTCAGTGCAGCAATATAAACTCAGCCACAACGAATACTTTCGTTTGGAGGTTAAGGATAAAGGGGACGATGGTAAAATACCAATATTGGTTGTTCAAAAATCTTTAGATAGGGAATCTGCAAGCAGCCACTCATTAGTGCTGACAGCATTGGATGGTGGAAAACCTCCGAAATCCGGCGAAATGAATATTTTAGTAAATGTTTTAGATGTTAATGATAATGCGCCTGATTTCTTTAAAGATGTTTATTCTGTGATGCTCAATGAAAATGTCCCAGTTGGTACAGCAGTTGTACAAGTGAATGCAACTGATTTAGATGAAGGTCCAAACGGAGAAGTAGTTTACTCATTTAGCAACAGTATGAATCAAAATGTATTGAATCTATTTGATATAAATCCAGCAACAGGTGAGATAATTGTCAAAGGTCCAATAGATTATGAGCAAAAGGACAAGTACGAAATTGAAATTGAGGCATCCGATAAAGGTCTCGCTCCGCTAACTAGCGAAAAAAGCGTCATTATCAAGATAGTTGATGTTAATGATAACGCACCTGAGATTGAAGTTACCTCATTTTCAAGCTCCATCCCTGAAGATTCCAGACCAGGAACTACAGTTGCCCTTATCAGTGTAAATGATTTGGACTCTGGTCTGAATGGAAAAGTTATTTGCTCCATAGATGAGGATGTTCCGTTCACTTTATCACCATCCTTACAGGACAAAATGTATTCTCTAGTTACCAAATCCCCTCTGGACAGAGAGAAACAGTCACACTATGACCTGACAATTACTGCAAAAGACGCTGGTCATCCTCCATTATCATCTGAGAAAACAATTAGCGTTGTGGTGTCAGATGTGAATGACAACAGTCCAGAGTTTTCACTGAGTCCCTATACTTTCTATGTCACTGAGGGTAACAATCCAGGAGCCTCAGTGTTTTCTGTTAACGCGTCTGATCGTGATGAGAACGACAACGCTCTCATTTCATATCATATTGTCAGAGACAGAAGCGAAGAAAACAAAGTGGCTTCATTTCTCAACATAAACTCTGAAAACGGAGACATTTTGGCGCTAAAAAGTTTCGACTTTGAAACTCTGAAAACGTTCCAGTTCCAAGTTGTTGCCTCCGATTCTGGAACTCCGTCACTGAGCAGCAACGTCACAGTGAACGTGTTCATTCTGGATCAGAACGACAACGCTCCAGTCATCCTGTATCCAGTCAGCTCTAACGGTTCTGCAAGGTGTGGAGGAGATTCCCCGCAATGTGAACGCAGGACACTTGGTGACTAAAGTCAGAGCCTATGACGCTGATATAGGATATAACGGCTGGTTACTCTTTTCACTGCAGCAAGTCACTGACCACAGTCTCTTTGGTTTGGACCGCTATACAGGACAGATCAGAACACTTCGCTCCTTCACAGAGACAGACGAGGCTGAGCACAAACTGCTCATACTGGTCAAAGACAATGGGAACGTGTCGCTCTCAGCAACAGCTACTGTGGTGGTCAAACTTGTGGAGCCCAAAGAGGCTTTTGCAGCTTCTGATGTTAAAAGTTCAGCCAAAGATGAGGAGGGGACCGATGTGACTTTTTATCTGATGATAACTTTGGGCTCAGTTTCTGTACTTTTTCTCATCAGTATCATCGTGCTGATTGCAATGCAGTGCTCTAAAACCACAGACTATACTTCTAAATATCTGCAAGAGACTAATTATGACGGGACACTGTGCCACAGCATCCAGTACAGATCTGGAGAGAAACGGTACATGTTAGTTGGACCCAGAATGAGTATAGGATCTACTATAGTCCCGGGCAGCCACGCGAATACACTAGTGCTCCCCGACAGGAGGAGGGGATCTGGAGAGGTAAGGCATTTTCTTGTAAACACCCTGACTTGTTTCCCTTGGCAGTGTTAGCCACTGGTTCGATCCTTAATTAGTATAGTCAAATATAGTCCGTATACCGTATGTGTACTGTTGGTTTGGCATATAGTTTTCTGAAATATGACACTAACATGCTGCACTTTCACCGAGACTATGTGGTTTGAGATTCCCAGCTTCTGGGATGTAATATAAAGTCACACGAGGCTGGGCCGAGTTATAGATAGCGTTATCCGCTGTCCATGGTGCTGATATGTCTTGCTCTCATGCACTGAAACCAGTGAACACCTCGTTAGACATGTACAATCACTATTTAGCTATTTTGGGAGGATCCGATGACTCCATCTTCATTCACAGGGAGATAAGGTTTTTGTTTCTTTGTGAAATCAGCTTAAGAAGGCATCTTGTCACAGCCGCTATGCATATGGTCAAAGTTAACACACATAACACCTTACCATTCTTTTATACACAGCTTTAGAAACTTTGATTTCCTTGTAGTGAGCAATGATATCGCATGGTGTCAGTGTGTTAGGAAAATAACGGCGTAACCTTGTCGTCACTGCATTTTGGTTCCACCTCCTCGTAGCCTTCTTATTTCGACAGAATCGCTTGGCGGCTCGCTGCTGTCTTTAGAAATAACGTGCCGTGTTTTAACATTTGTTTTTAAAAGGGTGAATATTTGCATACTCGGATGTGTTGGATTCATTTTTTACAAAAAGATTATTAATCCCGCGAGGAATCGATACCTTTTTTTGTTTAAATCATGGAACAAAGAGGATGGGAGGTAAGAAGTGCGAGAAGACAGTGGATCGCTTGCGTGCTTGCTGTTCTTTTGTGGAGAGTCGCAACAGCGCAACTAAGATATTCCATCTCTGAGGAAGTTAACGAAGGAACTGTGGTCGGGAATATTGCAAAGGATTTGGGATTAGATAAAAGCACTTTGAAGGACAGGAAGTATCGGGTTGTTTCTAGTGCTGTGGGACCTCTTTTCCATGTAGATCAGAATGACGGCATCCTGTATGTAAGCCAAAAGATTGACAGGGAAGAGGTGTGCGAGCGAAGCAGTACCTGTTTGATAAATCTGAAAACAGTGTTGGAAAATCCACTGGAGGTTCACTATGTTGTAGTGGAAGTTCTTGATATAAATGACCACTCTCCCAGCTTCCTAGAGAAAGAGAAAACGTTGGAGATTTCAGAGTCCGTGTTACCTGGAGTACGCATTCCGCTAAAGGCATCACGCGATCCTGACGGTGGTCCTTTCGCTGTTCAGCAGTATAAACTCAGCCCTAATGACCACTTCCGCTTAGAAGTTAAGGATAAAGGAGAGGATGGTAAAATACCTGTATTAATTGTTCAAAAATCTTTGGATAGGGAGGCAGCAAGAAGCCACTCATTAGTTCTGACCGCATTGGATGGGGGAAAACCTCAGAAATCTGGCGATATGAATATTCTAGTAAATGTTTTGGATGTGAACGATAACGCGCCTGTTTTCTCTAAAGATATTTACGCTGTGATGCTCGATGAGAATGCTGCAGTAGACACAACAGTCATACAAGTGAATGCAACTGACTTAGATGAAGGACCAAACGGAGAGGTAGTTTATTCATTCAGCAACAGTGTTAGTCATAGAATTGTAAAGCTTTTCGATATCAAACCATCAACAGGCGAGATCATTGTAAAAGGTTTAATAGACTATGAGGAGAAAGACAAATATGAGATTGAAATTCAAGCAGCAGACAAAGGTCTCGCTCCTCTGGCAACACAGAAAAGCGTCATTATCAGGATAGTTGATGTTAATGATAACGCACCTGAGATTGAAGTTACCTCATTTTCAAGCTCCATCCCTGAAGATTCCAGACCAGGAACTACAGTTGCCCTTATCAGTGTAAATGATTTGGACTCTGGTCTGAATGGAAAAGTTATTTGCTCCGTGGGTGAGGATGTTCCGTTCACTTTATCACCATCCTTACAGGACAAAATGTATTCTCTAGTCACCAAATCCCCTCTGGACAGAGAGAAACAGTCACACTATATCATAACAGTATTTGCAAAAGACGCTGGTCAGCCGTCACTGTCATCTGAAAAGACAATAAGCGTTGTGGTGTCAGATGTGAATGACAACAGTCCAGAGTTTTCACTGAGTCCCTATACTTTCTATGTCACTGAGGGTAACAATCCAGGAGCCTCAGTGTTTTCTGTTAACGCGTCTGATCGTGATGAGAACGACAACGCTCTCATTTCATATCATATTGTCAGAGACAGAAGCGAAGAAAACAAAGTGGCTTCATTTCTCAACATAAACTCTGAAAACGGAGACATTTTGGCGCTAAAAAGTTTCGACTTTGAAACTCTGAAAACGTTCCAGTTCCAAGTTGTTGCCTCCGATTCTGGAACTCCGTCACTGAGCAGCAACGTCACAGTGAACGTGTTCATTCTGGATCAGAACGACAACGCTCCAGTCATCCTGTATCCAGTCAGCTCTAACGGTTCTGCTGAAGGTGTGGAGGAGATTCCCCGCAATGTGAACGCAGGACACTTGGTGACTAAAGTCAGAGCCTATGACGCTGATATAGGATATAACGGCTGGTTACTCTTTTCACTGCAGCAAGTCACTGACCACAGTCTCTTTGGTTTGGACCGCTATACAGGACAGATCAGAACACTTCGCTCCTTCACAGAGACAGACGAGGCTGAGCACAAACTGCTCATACTGGTCAAAGACAATGGGAACGTGTCGCTCTCAGCAACAGCTACTGTGGTGGTCAAACTTGTGGAGCCCAAAGAGGCTTTTGCAGCTTCTGATGTTAAAAGTTCAGTCAAAGATGAGGAGGGGACCGATGTGACTTTTTATCTGATGATAACTTTGGGCTCAGTTTCTGTACTTTTTCTCATCAGTATCATCGTGCTGATTGCAATGCAGTGCTCCAAAACCACAGACTATACTTCTAAATATCTGCAAGAGACTAATTATGACGGGACACTGTGCCACAGCATCCAGTACAGATCTGGAGAGAAACGGTACATGTTAGTTGGACCCAGAATGAGTATAGGATCTACTATAGTCCCGGGCAGCCACGCGAACACACTAGTGCTCCCTGATAGGAGGAGGGGATCTGGAGAGGTAAGGATTATTTTTTGTGAAAACCTTTGCTTGTACCCTTGTAATTATCCAATTAAGATCAAGTCTGGTATGTTATATGCCCATTCTATTGTTTCCCTAAAGCTATAGAGTTCACATCCATCCTTTTATGCTTGCATCCTCAGCAGGCAATGAAGTCGTTAAAACTATTACACTAAAATAAGATTTTTTCAATGAAAGTGTATCTGCATTGTAAAGACAGCTCGCATGGTGTCACTGCTTGTGAAAATGAACGACTCTCGGTTGAACGTCCCCTACGTCAGCAGCTTGGTGCTATTTCGTGACAGTGTGCGCTTGTGCTTTCGGGCGATGGCTTCACATCTTTGACTCGCCAACATTTATTCTAATATCGGACAATTGTCATTTTTGTTCAAAATGTGTGTTCATGTGTAGAATTTTATTTTGTAACCTTTATTCGTTTATCCTTTTTTAAAATCCAACATGGCACAACCAGGATGCAAAGCATGGTTGCGGCGCCTGATCTTTCTCATTGTTTGCTTGAATGTTACTTTGAATTTTTCTTCGGCACAGCTACGATACTCTATTCCTGAAGAGCTTACGGTGGGTGCTGTTGTCGGTAATATCGCTAAAGATTTAGGGCTGGATATCAGTGTTTTGAATGCTAGAGGATTTCGCATCGTTTCCGGATCGACAGAACCCCTGTTTCAACTTAACAACAACGGAATCTTACACGTCAACCAAAAAATAGACAGAGAAGAGGTGTGCGAACGGATCAGCACCTGCATTATCAACATAAAGACTGTGCTGGAGAACCCGTTAGAGGTGCATTACGTCGCCATTGAGGTCTTGGATGTAAACGATCACTCTCCCACCTTCTCCGAAAACGAGACTCGTTTAGAGATATCAGAATCTGCTTTACCTGGGGCACGATTTCAACTACAAGGCGCTCGCGATCCAGACAGCGACACATATTCTATTCAACTGTACAGGCTCAGTCAAAATGACCATTTTCGCCTGGAGGTTAAAGACAGAGGAGAAGATGGGAAAATTCCTGTTTTGTATTTGCATAAACCGCTGGACAAAGAAACTGCAAGAAGTCATAGATTACTGCTGACAGCTGTTGATGGGGGAAAGCCTGCTAAGTCAGGAACCATGGGAATTATGGTTAATGTTTTGGATGTCAATGACAATATGCCAGTTTTTTCAAAAGACTCATATGCTGCGGTGCTTAATGAAAATTCACCTATTGGCACAACTATAATGCAAGTTAATGCCACAGACTTAGATGATGGTTTAAATGGGGAGGTGGTATATTCGTTCGGCAATAATGTAAATAGCAAATTACGTAAACTTTTTGAAGTTGACCCTAATACTGGTGAAATTATTGTTAAAGGCCAGATAGATTATGAAGCAAAAGACAGGTATGAAATTGACATCAAAGCTTCTGATAAAGGGACAGTCCCCCTAGCAACAGAAAAAAGTGTTATAATAACTATTGTGGACCTGAATGACAACGCACCTGAGATTGAAGTAACGTCCTTTTCAAGAGCAATTCCTGAGGACTCCAAACCTGGGACGACGGTAGCGTTGATAAGTGTGAGTGATAATGATTCAGGTGTAAATGGAAAGGTAATCTGTTACATTAGTGAGGATGTACCTTTTACATTAACACCATCGTTACAAGACAATATGTACTCAATAGTCACAAAATCTCTGCTAGATAGAGAGCATCAATCCAAGTGTGATGTAACAATAATTGCTAAAGATGCTGGTGAAAAAGCTTTGTCATCCCACAGGACAATTAGTGTGACTGTATCAGATGTTAATGATAACAGTCCAGCGTTTTCAACAAATCCATATACTTTTTATGTTACTGAGAACAATGTTGCAGGGGCCTCTTTATTTTCAGTGAGTGCTAATGATTGTGATGAGGGTGATAATGCTCTCATATCATATAACATTGTGAGAAATGGGGACGAACACAAACAATTGGCTTCATTTATCAACATAAACTCTGAAAACGGAGACATTTTGGCGCTAAAAAGTTTCGACTTTGAAACTCTGAAAACGTTCCAGTTCCAAGTTGTTGCCTCCGATTCTGGAACTCCGTCACTGAGCAGCAACGTCACAGTGAACGTGTTCATTCTGGATCAGAACGACAACGCTCCAGTCATCCTGTATCCAGTCAGCTCTAACGGTTCTGCTGAAGGTGTGGAGGAGATTCCCCGCAATGTGAACGCAGGACACTTGGTGACTAAAGTCAGAGCCTATGACGCTGATATAGGATATAACGGCTGGTTACTCTTTTCACTGCAGCAAGTCACTGACCACAGTCTCTTTGGTTTGGACCGCTATACAGGACAGATCAGAACACTTCGCTCCTTCACAGAGACAGACGAGGCTGAGCACAAACTGCTCATACTGGTCAAAGACAATGGGAACGTGTCACTCTCAGCAACAGCTACTGTGGTGGTCAAACTTGTGGAGCCCAAAGAGGCTTTTGCAGCTTCTGATGTTAAAAGTTCAGTCAAAGATGAGGAGGGGACCGACGTGACTTTTTATCTGATGATAACTTTGGGCTCAGTTTCTGTACTTTTTCTCATCAGTATCATCGTGCTGATTGCAATGCAGTGCTCTAAAACCACAGACTATACTTCTAAATATCTGCAAGAGACTAATTATGACGGGACACTGTGCCACAGCATCCAGTACAGATCTGGAGAGAAACGGTACATGTTAGTTGGACCCAGAATGAGTATAGGATCTACTATAGTCCCGGGCAGCCACGCGAATACACTAGTGCTCCCCGACAGGAGGAGGGGATCTGGAGAGGTAAGACAGGTCACTTTATTTCAAGGCAGCTGTATGAACGGTAGTGACAGATGAGATGCAGATCCTAATGATTAAAGTGCCACAAGTACTAAATCACACCACTTAAACACAATAGCTGTATAGAAATGTACCTCAGACCTAAAATTAATCACTAGGGGAAATAAGGAGGTACTGTGTTATGAGACTGCTAAGTTAAGTTGCTTGTTTACATGTGGTTGTATGGTTAGTTGGATGTTAATTGATTAGTAAATAACCGATTGGACTGCAGTTAGTGTGTTGTGTTTGTGTTCCCTTAATACTGTGTTAATACTGTGTTGTCTCTTTGGTCTTAAAAATGAAATTCATCCCAAGAAATGATACATTATAAAACATACTGATTGTGTGTTGGCTATGTGGATTGTGGTAAAATATAAATGAGCTCTTAAACAGCAATACATACACCTTCTCCTGACACTGAAGACACCGTTACTTTCTAGAACAAGAGAACATATCAAAGTGATGTCTTTCCTTCTGAAAATGAATGCCTCTAACCTCTTATAACTGTTCAGGTTTTCATTACATTTGACTTCATTCAGACCGCTGAGGACTTTGTATTCAGTGCACTGACCGACTTAAACTATTAATAATTTAAACTGCAGTGTGTCTATTTCAGGCCATGAGCTGTTGTGTCATAGTAGGTCATAAACTTGCTTTGCAGACTCATAAATGCCTCTGTAAAGTAAGGAAAAAATCTTCAGTTCAAAAAGATAATGAATGATATTTTATTCAAGTAACTTTTGAAGGTTTTCTGAATATCAATGTCATTTGAGCTACTGTGTTTGGTCTTCCTCGTTTGATTTAATATCTTTTCAGTACCTAAATATAAAGGCAGTCATTTAAAATAGACATGTTACTAGGTGTAATTTCTGTTTAATGCTGAGAGTACAGAAACATTGGCCTGTGTGTTTTATTCACTTAAACTTATTATGTTTTGTTGCTCTATGTGTTTATCTATTAGGGTTGCGTGTGCGTAAAGAGAGTAACTGACCGACTGACAGAGTTACTTGAGGACTGTGCTCACTGATGTAGTTGAGGTGATTCAGTGGTCCATGAATGGCTGCAGCTACAACAGAGAGGGGGGGAGAGAGAGCCTGCGGCTGGTGTGCAGTGAATCACAATGTACAGCTAGTCAGGTGGGGTTGGGGCACTTTGCTATAGCAGGGACCTTCATTCATTACAGGACTGCAAAACAGCAAGAAATATATTATTACTATTTTATTTGACTGGCTTGTAGAATATACATACATACACAAACAAACTATACACTAGCTTCTGTGCAGATGAGCCCTTTCGACTGACTAAAAAATAGGTCATATTTTATCACATGTGTGAAGAGCTTCATTCTAGGCTTCTGGGCTGATTCTGTGTCGAACACTGTGTGTTGCCCATAGCAACACACGAGGAGATCCACCTCTCTGAGTCTACTGGTTTCCACAGACTAGCATGCGCTCAGCGGTCTTAGCAACAGCAGCAGAAGAGGATGAAGGAGGGAGGGATAGAGAGAGCAGCAGTGGAAGGGGGAGGGGAAGTAGCCTCTGTATGGTTCATCTATAGACATCTCACAATATTTAATGAAATGGGTTTTTTTAGATTGAAACACATGGATTATGTGAGTGAGATACTCATTGTCAATCAGGCAACAGATGGTGCAGATATAGAAGCAACAGTGAAGGCGGGAATAGCTGAGCTTCTAATTAGATATTTATTAGTATGGAGATAATCTTTTCTCTCATACAACTGGGTCAACCTTAGATTTCCTACAAATGACTGTCATAAAAAAAAACATGTATTTTAAATGTGTCTTTACTGATGGGATATTTTAACCCACTGAGCAGCATGTGGTATAAAGCAGTAAGCCAGAGTGGAGTATTAGTGCAGGCAGGGAATGGATCAGTTCAGAGTCAGAGTAAGGCAGCAGCATAGCTTCATAAAGTAGAGGCTGAGCACACTTTACTGGATAGCAGTGACTTCCTCTCTGTGTGTACGCGTATGCATATTTTATGTGCACATGTTTGTGCGTGAGGCATCATGTGTTTTGCAATGCAGCAGCAGTGCTAAGCTGTGCCTGGACAGCAGATGCTCAGAAAATATTTACTTTATGTGATTAAAAATGGGTGAATCTCATAGGGTCATGAGCTACATTCAAAATGCAAGCACAGTGGATGTGGCTTGGTCCATTGATGAATCAGCTAAATTTTAAAATGCACTTCTATTGTTTGTAACTAGTCAATCTTGATTGTGATCTAAAACATTACTGT